CCAGAAAAGACACTGCCCCCCAAGGTCTATAGAACATAAGGTTACCCAATACCGATTCTCCTCCTCTGAGAGGCAAGGTGGGTCAGTGACGTAGCTGGTTCTATGAACAACACAACACCACCTATACTGTGGTACAGTCTATATAAAATATTTAAACCTCGCATCGTGTTGTCACGTATAGGCACATGTATAGGCTATCTTTTATTCTGACTGTATCGAACCAGTGACGTCAATTTGCGGGGTAATAATCGATACTACAGAGGCATAGGGAATGAGGTAACCTTATGTTCTATAAACCTTGGGTATGGGCGGGTATTTCGACGGAAGCACATACAGCGCTCATCTTTGTTGAAAATGGCACGCTAAATGCCCACCGTTATATCCAAGATATTCTGCAAGAAGCTATCGTGCCCTATTCCCATTTTATTGGTGACGGATTCATGCTAATGCATGACAATGCGCGACCGTACGTAGCACGTGTAGTTAGCGGATATCTTGATGAGATGGGTTTTGAACGGATAGAGTGGCCAGCGTGCAGCCCGGACCTTAACCCTATCGAACATCTTTGGCACCAACGTCAGAGACGCATTCGTCGTCGTCCTGTCCTACCGGACAACCTTCAGGAATTACGAATTGCTCTTGACGAAGAGTTTATCGCAATTCCTCAGGAATCAATTACGAACTTAATCAGTTCGATGCCGCGTCGATTACATGACGTTATTTTGGCTCGTGGGGGGCACACACGCTTTTAATTTTCGTGTTATTATTAATTATTACATTAAATTAAATTTGTTTTCTTGTTTATTTGTCTTTGTTTTTACCGCATATTAGAACTGGGAACAGATGTTTACAATAATGAAGGACGTCCGCAATTCTGTAATTCTAAGAAAATGTAAGTGCTTCTGCAAAACTGTTTCGGGTGCCCAGTTTTAGTTTTCAAGGTCAGTGATTTAAGGCGCCACTTTTAACAATGATTAAACATCTGTATAAGCTTCTTTGGAAATTCCCGGCCATACGATCACATAACCACCATCGAAACTTTCGCGTTTCATCGGATTCCGTTATCAGTTTTTCAAAATTAAGGCTCCCTATTTTTTTAAGAGCAATTTAATGGAATTACAAATTAAAGAGAAACGGAAATAAGCAATGCGGGGAGAGGAGGGTTCCGTCCAATCGGAACAGATGGTGCGTCCCAAACAGGACGTCGCGCTTTATTTCTTTATGGAGGTAAGATAAAGGCGCGACGTTTACCCCTCGATATGGGGCATATTTTATTGTTTCAATATTCCATATAATTTCGTGGAAAATCGCTGGGGAAGTAGGTGTACAAAATAGGGAAATGCGGAGAAATTATGGGGAAGTTCGACGAATTACGGGGAAGTCTGAGGAATTATGGAGAGATGCGAGTAATTACGGGGAAGTACAGTAAAGCTTCGCTAATCCGAATCAATTAAAACCAGCTCAATTCAGATTATGGAAGCATGCGGATTATTGAAGTCATATTTAAATATTATCAAAAAAAGTCTTATAAATACTTATTTATAGATTTGTTGTACTAGATAATATATGCAATACATGTTTTATACAGTTTATTTAAAAAAATCAAACAACTTTGTTTGTCGCATGAAGTCTTGTTTAAATTTCATGGCGCGTTGCCGTAGAATTCTAAGGGTTGTTACGGTGTTTAAATCGACTGCATTCTCCTCCGCCCATTGAATACATGTACTGAAGCTTTTAATAACATTCTCATGTTTTACTTTTAATTGCTATTAAATTAGCCGATAGTTTGTCCCAAGCATTGGCAAGCATGAACACAGCATCCTTAATAGAAATATTCTTCAGTGCTTTGGAAATATCGTCTTCCTCTATAGATAGAACATGTTCTAAGAGACTTTTCCGGTAATACACTTCGTTAAACGAATTGCATTTTGATCCATAGGTTGGATAAGTGGAGTACAATTGGGTTGGTATAACGTAAACAAGTAACTATAAACTATAAAACTAAACGTGTTCCAACTTGTTTAAACGGCCACACAAAAAGACCGTTAATTCCGATTAGCGAATCTTCTAGCAATTCGCATTGCAAGGGACATAATGCAAATTTCACGTTTTCTAATTTTGTTCGGATTTCAAGGGAATTCGGATTTGGGGGTGTTCGAATTAGCGGAGCTTTACTGTACAAGGAATTACGGGGAATTATCGAGGAAGTTTGGGGAAGTTTGGGGAATTATTGGGGAAGTACGGGAAATTATTTAGGGAAATTTGGGGATATATTGAAACACGATCGAACACGATTAAACACGATATCTAACGATCGAAGTTACGATGTTCCATAAACAAGCTAGATCTAGTATTAGGTGCGCAATTTCTGTTTCATAAAGGGTGTGTGAATTGTTACTAGTAGAAGCATCGTTTTCATTCAAAGGTAAGATTGAATGAGTATCATATTAAAATTTAAATTTATATTAACATATCGTGAAGAGTCAATGGTACTAAATTCGCTCGTAAATTCTATTTTGTATTAGGCGCCAGGAAGACGGCAAATCGCTATCGCTGTTTTCAAGAGGCCGAAAATTTTCTACAATTTCAATTAAATGAAAATGTTAAGGAAATTCTTATTATTAGCGGATTTGATAATGAGGTGCTGCTTGGTACGATTGACGAAAATGATCTAGAAAAAATAGAAGCATTTATTAGAAATGACTACCATGAATTACTAACTTTGGAAGAAAAAAATTTGTTTTACGGGATTTTTAAAAATAATCCGCAGCAATTTAAATTGCTATCTGGCACGAAAAAACAAATAGTTTTAATTTCCAAATTTTATAAATGCAAATACGAGAGAAAAATATCGAGTCAGTCTACGCAAACCGACATAATTGAAAACATTTCTGAACACCCCTCAGCACAACCATTAAGTGAGACTGCAGCTACAGATCAGGAAACAGAAAAGTGCGTTATATTAAAAGCTCTTAAGTGCTGGCTTAAAACAAAAGTTAGTCAGGAACAATGGTTAATATTTGAATCAAAATGTAATGGTATAAGCCTAAAAATTCAAAAAGGATTAGATAAACATTTTTCTTGCACTGTGACTTGCTTTTGTGGTCAAAGTTGCAAAATCTTACAAGATTTGGATTTTTTTGTATGGCCGAAAACACCAGACATCGCGGTTGTAGATGAAGAGTATGTATTTTACGGTCCCATTAATTTACTTGGTAACGACATATTTCAAATTAGCAGACATGATGATGTAGAAATAAAGAAATTATACAAAGCTTTCAAACAAAATTATAAAATACTTTAAATCTGTTTTGTCAGTATTATTTTCTATTTTTATATAGAAAAACTCAATGTTTTTATTTGCCAAAGAATATATGTTAATTTTTATTGACTTTTATTTGGGTGTTTTACTTAAATACACACGTGGATATGCCGTCCGAAGGGAGAGGAGGTAGGAGTATGTAAGAGGAATTACGGGGAAGTACACGGAAGTACGGGGAAATACTAGGAATATAAGTAGGAAGTATAAGGAATTATTTGTCAAAGGGGAAGTAGGTGTACAAAATTTGAACTAGCGGTTTACCCCTCGCCCCATATTAAGAACACTGGTTTACCACCAGTTTGAAATTTGAAATTTTTTCGTCAAATAGTTCTGGAGAAAAAAAAATCCAAAGTAGATAAAGTTGCTGGCACTCTCAAAAATCGGATACTTTTTTCACTTAACTCGCGATAAAAGAAAAACCGCGGAACCGAAAATTTCCAAATTAACATGTGATACGCACAAATGTTCATGATTACAATAAACTTTACCGCAATTTTTTCCATTGAGCGGTTACGAAGATATCGATCTCTAAAGTGTAAAATTTGACAGATATAGTAGACATCTGTCAAAAATAATTTTAATTAGTTTTTCTTTATTTTTTTTAGATAATGAAGGTTATACATCACAAGCCGTTGAATATTTTTCGGAAAAATTAGCTCAATACGGCGAAGGAACCGAAGTTCCAATTCGAAGTTTACTCGGACATCGTAGCCAAGCAAGTCCGGAAGTTCGCCACGTTTCCGGCCAACACTTCCATGAATTCCGCGATTTTCTCCAAAAACACCCCGAAACGTTTTACATAGACGACGAAAAAGAGATCGTCGTTTTAAAAAATTACAACTCGGTTAAATCGCACAGTCAAGAATTAAATTATAACCTCATCGTTTCGATCAACCCCGAAAACACACAAAAATTATTAGATTTTTTAGCGAAATGTATCGACGTGAAAGGACCAATTTTAGTCGAACAATTATTTCAATTAATCAGCTGTAATTTAGACGAGTACTTATGGACGGGGTTGTTTAACACTTCCAGCCAATTAATGAGTTTTTTGAGGTTATTCTCCGATAGTTTTCACATCCAATCGAATTTAGTTACTTTATTACAACATCCCAAGCTTAATCAAAAACATTTAAACGAACCAAAAATTAATAATTATGTTAACGAAACGCAACATAACCCCAACCATCAAAACAACACCAGAAACGAAAAAATTGAAAGAGTTACTTCACCAATTGGGTCTAAATCAATAAATGATCGTTTAAAACAACAAAGAGCAATACAAAAACAACCCGAAAATAAAATAAATCAAACTGAAACGAAAGTAAATCAATCAGAAATAAAATTAAATCAATCAGAATCAAAACTAAATTCATCAGATGAAAAAAAACATCAAGATGTACCAATGGAACGCCCAAAACCAATTTCAACGCAAAATCAATCGTTAAAACAACGTATAAACACATTAGTTTTAAAGACATTGCAAGAAAACACAGGAAGGGATCGACAAAATATGATATCGCAAAGTCAAAATTATACGGAATCATGGAAAGTGTCGTTATTTCAACACACAAGAGTGATTTGCACCATAAAAGAGTGCCAAATGGTTATTGACCCTTTAATTAATTCGAATAAAAAAGCGAGGTTAAATGGCAACTTTGACAGTGGCTTAGTTTGGCCGTTCACTGAAGATAAAGTTGTGGTTGCCGTCGATTGCGAAGGGATCAATTTGGGGTTAAAAGGACAACTTACGCTGATTCAAATCGCAACGATGACCGGATTCGTGTACGTTTTTGATTTAGTTTCGTGTCCCGGAATGATCGATTATGGGTTAAAATCGTTATTGGAACATCCCGATGTGATTAAAGTAAGTTATTTTTATTAATTTTTTATACGAATAAGTGGGATTATTGAATTGATTTGATTAGAAATTGAAAAAAAAATTTTTTTTGAGGTTATGTTTTTCTGTCATTATTTTTTTTTTAAATGAACTTGATAAAAAATGGGGTAAAAATGATTATAAATGTTATAAATGAAAGGAGGAATTTGTTCAAAAACTCACCCAAAATCACAATTAATTTAATATTGATTAAAAAAAAATAATTTTCCACAATTTTTGTTGATATATAAACTAATTTTATCGCACGTTAGATGTCACCATTTGCAAAAATTTGATAAAAATAAAATAACCAAAAAAAATTTTCTAACCTAAAATTCACCAACATGGGATCTTAAAAACTTGTTTTTACTGAATTTAGCTAATGTTGACTCTATATTCATCGTATATGTATAATTATAGGTGTGAATTTTTCCAAAAAAACCACTGTTTGAGAACGATGAAAGATATTTATTTAATTTTTAAATCGGTGCTACGTTACGTTTCGACCAATAAGTTGGTCTTCTTCAGGCACGTCTAAAAAGGTTTTATACGTTCAATACAAATAATTAAGAAAAAATTACATATTGAATATTTACCGTCTTAGGATGTAGCAAATGGAGGATTTGATCTATATAAATTTAACATCGCAAAGGCAATGGAGATAATTCGTTATTTAGACGTACATAATTTTAAGTTAGAGTTCAAAGATTTACATGAGGGTCGGATTCTAAAACGCATATAAAAAAACATATAAAAAACATTTCGGAAAAACGTTGACGTNCTTGGGAATCGGAGCATGCTATAAGAGAACTTTTATAACAAAAATTGTTGCAAATTTTATTGTTAACAATATTGCTCTCTTGCACTTTTGCTCTTAGATACGTCAATATCGAGATATATACGAAAATATGAAAATTTTATAAATTTGTTGCTCTTTCAAGGTATTAAAGGTAACGCTTGGGAATCAGAGCATGCTATAAGAGAACTTTTATAACAAAAATTGTTGCAAATTTTATTGTTAACAATATCGCTCTCTTGCACTTTTTCTTGTAGATACGTCAATATCGAGATAGATACGAAAATATGAAAATTTTATGAATTTGTTGCTCTTTCAATGTATTAAAGGTAACACTTGAGAATTGGAGCTTGTTATAAGAAAACTTTTATAACAAAAATTGTTGCAAATTTTATTGTTAACAACATTGCTCTCTTGCACTTTTGCTCTTAGATACCTCAATATCGAGATAGATACGAAAATATGAAAATTTTATGAATTTGTTGCTTTTTCAAGTTATTAAAGGTAACACTTGAGAATCGGAGCTTGCTATAAGAAAACTTTTGTAACAAAAATTGTAGCAGATTTTATTGTTAACAATATTGCTCTCTTGCACTTTTTCTCGTAGATACGTCAATATTGAGATAGATACGAAAATATGGAAATTTTATCAATTTGTTGCTCTTTCAAGGTATTAAAGGTAACACTTGAGAATCGGAGCTTGTTATAAGAAAACCTTTATAACAAAAATTGTTGCAAATTTTATTGTTAACAATATTGCTCTCTTGCACTTTTGCTCTTAGATACGTCAATATCGAGATAGATACGAAAATATGAAAATTTGATGAATTTGTTGCTCTTTCAAGTTATTAAAGGTAACACTTGAGAATCGGAGCTTGCTATAAGAAAACTTTTATAACAAAAATTGTTGCAAATTTTATTGTTAACAATATTGCTCTCTTGCACTTTTGCTCTTAGATACGTCAATATCGAGATATATACGAAAATATGAAAATGTTATGAATTTGTTGCTTTTTCAAGTTATTAAAGGTAACACTTGAGAATCGGAGCTTGCTATAAGAAAACTTTTATAACAAAAATTGTTGCAAATTTTATTATTAACAATATTGCTCTCTTACACTTTTGCTCTTAGATACGTCAATATCGAGATAGATACGAAAATATGAAAATTTTATGAATTTGTTGCTTTTTCAAGTTATTAAAGATAACACTTGGAAATTGGAGCATACTATAAGAAAACTTTTGTAACAAAAATTGTTGCAAATTTTATTGTTAACAATATTGCTCTCTTGCACTTATGCTCTTAGATATATCAATATCGAGATAGATACGAAAATATGAAAATTTTATGAATTTGTTGCTCTTTCAAGGTATTAAAGGTAACACTTGAGAATCGGAGCTTGCTATAAGAAAACTTTTATAACAAAAATAGTTTCAAATTTTATTGTTAACAATATTGCTCTCTTGCACTTATGCTCTTAGATACGTCAATATCGAGATAGATACGAAAATATGAACATTTTATGCATTTGTTGCTTTTTCAAGTTTAAAAGAACTAAATCCGCAGTGATTAAATAAAGATTTTAAGTACCTAGAACAACAGGAACAATTTAGAGCAACAAAAAATATGTGATTTTTCAAAATCAATGTCCGTGTTAAACGTAAAAACCATCTAGAACAATTTGAATCGGCAAAGTTTGAGTTATTTTAGATTGTTCTATATTTTTTAATTCTTATTTTGTAATATAAAAACGGTGACACAAGAATTACTGACTGAAACTTCCAAAAACTTTAATTTTCAAAGAGTTAAGTGCCCTTTAGAGAGTTGTTCTAGTGAAAATAATAGGTGTTCCAGATTGCGTTGTCATAAGTATATATCAACTAGACATTTCGGCGGCTAAACCTATTTTTAGTTATAACTTCGTAATGCTGTATCCCATAATTTTGATTTTCTAGAACAACCCAGAACAACAAAGAAAATTTGATTTTTCCAAAAATCAAAAAACCCGTTTTTTCGGTTTTCTCGCGGAGTTTTTATTTTTTCGATTTGCCGCTTTGAAACAATGTAGAACAACTCTAGAACAATCTAGAACAACAATAAAAAATTTAAAAATTAAAAATGGGGGGCTAACTTCCCGCACTCACTAAACAGGCGTGTTTTGAGAAAATGCAAACACTAAAACTAAATTACATTAATATTTTTTGAAGATTCAATAAAGTTGTTATTTTAGATAAATTTACGTGAATGTATTTACTTTATAATGATTGTGAATTATGATATTTCGCACTCCAAGAGGTATTCCTTTCCGTTTAGCTTCCATTGTTAGGAGTATTACTAATTACACTAATTTATGTTAGTATACTGCTATAGCAACAACGTTGTTATAAAATAAAACGCAAAGTGTCGTGTGATAGCTGTATGTAGACTTTTTTGAGTTACAAATATGATTATGTTTTGTGTTTTTCAATATAAATAATAAGTTATACATTTTTATGTAAAATATTATATATAATATATATATTATATGTGTATGTAGACTTTATGTACCACTGTAGAAAGTGGTGAGTCAAATAACTTTTGTATAAAACATTTTTTTCTTTCTTAAACGGTTTAGCAACTATCGTTCGCCGCGATACTAATAACTCACCCTGTATAATAATACTGTAATATAAGTATAATATAATACACTACTCTCCAAAATTATCGCACCACCTAAATTATGCATTAAGTTTAAAGGTATTTTTTTTTTGAATCAACGGATGGATTTTGATGATTCTTTCTTCACGATATAGGTTGATTTTTAAGGAAGAAATGTGTTGATGGTTTCTGACAATTGTCAACGTTTTACCCATATACGGGGTGTAAAAAGAAATTTATGTTTTTTCTTCTAATTTTGCAACACCCTGTGGAATTTATCAGAAAGAACCGCTACATTCCATTTACATTACGTTAGAATGGCAACCCTTCTCTACATTTTCGTTCAAGAATCATCTCGATATCTCTTTTATCAAGGAAGATACACATTTTTTAAGTTTGACTTAATTTTGTTGAAATATAGTCCTTACTAATGAAACAAGCAGGCTATGAAATATCAAACAGTTTGACAGAAATGCTTGTCAATTTTATTTACGCATTTAGCAAGTTGCTGCTTTGGGTTATTAAGTGTTTATTTGACATGGACCGTATTTCAAGACATTTAAACCGCGATGAGTGTGTTGAGGCAGTTACTTTAGCCAATGAAGGAATAAGTTATCGTGAAATAGGCTTGAGATTAGGAGTTTCTCATACAACAATATCACGTGCCGTTCAACGATTTCAAGAGACAAATGATCATACAAGACGACCTGGACAAGGAAGAAGGAGAGTCACAACACTACGCCAAGATCGTTTTATTAGACTTCGTGCTTTAAGGGAACGTTTTGTTACAATGAGAAACTTACAGATACAAGTAGCAGATGTTCATAATATTCGAATTAGTACTAACACTGTACAAAGGCGTCTCGCCGAAGGTGATTTGCATGCAAGGATTCCTGCCAGAGCACCAAATTTAAACGCAAATCATCGTAGAAGGAGATTGCAATTTGCCAGAGAACATCTTGACTGGAATGCTGATGACTGGGAACAAGTACTGTTCACAGATGAATCAAGGTTTTGTTTATACAGCTCAGATAGACGTTTAAGAGTAATTCGACGGCCCAATGAACGCTATGCACAGTGCAACATACGACCGACAACTTTATTTAATGGAAGAGGTTCATTAACAGGTGAAAGGTATGTTACAGACATTTTATCGGAACACGTGGTACCCTTTGCTCCTTACATAGGAAATAATTTTTTATTAATGCATGACAATGCAAGACCTCATGTTGTCTATACGGTCCGTGACTATTTGGATGAAGTTGGTATACAAACCATGAACTGGCCACCCTGTAGCCCTGATCTCAATCCAATAGAGAATTCATGGGATAATATTGATCGTCAGTTAAGGGGCCGACATCCACCACCTATCGTTTTGGACGACGCACATAAGGACAAATAACTAAATTACGACGACAAATATAGATATAAGTTTTATCTTTAAACTAATCACAAATATCTTCAAAATGTTCATTATAATCTAGTCAGACATGAGCCGTAAAATTTTTTTTGTTAACGTAACAGAATAGCCTAACCGTGTGCGCAAAGTTGGCTTATCTTTTGCACGGGGAATATACTTAGTTACGCGTGAATTGTTGACAGAGTAATTACGTTCGTAATATTTTCCTAAATTTAAAATCGTTAATTTTTCAATATGGATATTGAAGCGTCAGGTATGTACTTTAATCTGCCACTACTGTCAACTTTCGTTCGTAGTTTAGATATGATGCACATTATATAACATTTAATATTTGCTGCCAAAAAGTACACTAACTTTTTTTTACTAGTTCCAAAAAATATCTTATAAATAACATCAAAAAATAAAATAGAAGTCCCCTTGTTTCCCCCTTCGTTAAATAAAGGGTATTTTTCAGGTTGTGGCGACCCCGCTTTAATGAAAATAAAGATTAAGAGAAAAGAACTGTTTATAGTGTTAAAAAATAAACAGTTTTATAAGTTATCGTCATTAAAGTGTAATGAACAATTATTACAGTATATATTTGACAAGTTTAGCATTAGTGAACTTTCTGAAAATTGTACAAAACAAATAAAACTTGTGGTCAAAGTGTTTGTTACGAAGGTTTTGACGAAATGGCGAGGTTGTAATTATATGTACGAGCGTTTTAACAACAAGCATATGAAATGGCTTAATGAAGACTTGAATCTCCCGGACATACAGCCACCACAGCTTGCAGTAACAGCACCAAAGAAGCGAGGCAGGCCAAGAAAATTATTCGAAGAGAGCTCTCAACGCAGTAAGCAACGACATGTTGAACCAATAGTATCAAATCTCTGTTCAGAAACACTGTGCTTGGCTGCAGAATCAAGCTTGGTGAA